GTGCTGCCTGCAAGACCTGCTCGTGATAAACACTGGGGACAACTAGTTGGATTCTGGTCTCACAATCATCTGATGAGGGAGCCCCCTTGGGTCTCCCTCTTCTCATCAGAAGTTGATCCTTGAAGAAGAAACCCGTCACTTCTTCCAATGCATCTACAGTAGCAGTGGCTTCAAAACTACATTCAAGTAAACTGGGATCAGTATTCCGTAAGGAACTCAAGGTTAAGGACTCAGAAGTGAGCGGGCAAGTACCTGGCAACTTGATCTATTTTACTGATCCTGGCTGATCAGAATAAAATAGAGTCACAACTGCTTCGGTCTCACTTTCTGCAACTGTTTCAATGGTGACAAGCGGGTAAGTTACAATTAGTTCCGCCTCCTCACCTCTACCTTCCTTGTGGTTTTGGCTCGGAGGGCCTTCTACTAAGGACTCACTCTCATCATCCAACTGAGTCATAAAAGAATCCTCAAGATCCACCTCCCACTCCTTATCTGAAGGGGTCCTGGTCTTGGGAACATCTACCTTGGTTAAGACAGGATTACTATCACCCGTTATCCCCCTTGACCTGGTCACAGCACATGCTGGGTAAATAATGCCATCATCTGCATCTGGTTGAGCCAGTATACCATCTGGGTTAATTAACATAATTGGACACTTGGTCCCTTCAACCTTACGGTTCCCAAAATCATTCCCTAGAATAATATTCACTCCTGGGATGGGCAACTGTTTACTCACACCAACGTTACACCATCCAGAAGTATAAGTGGAATCAAGGTTTACCTGGATTAATGAAACGTGTTGCACACTACCTACAATGCTTTGCAGGAGTACAACTTCATTAAGATCTCTGGTATCAACATTAACAAGCACATTATGGGAAATTAAAGACTGTGAAATTCCAGTATCACGGAGTAACTAAACAGTCTTTTTACTACCATCTGTACACAGTAATGTACCTGTAGAAATATAGGGTTTAAACTCAGTCATCCTATTGGGACTGACTGGAATACATGGTGAATTATTTGATTGCAACCCTTTACTCATAATGAGACCAGCTGGTCTTAATTCAGGGTGCAAACTAAAACAAGAATTAATCACATGTCCTTTCCTCTTACAATAAGTGCAGTACCTGACAGTGGTCAGCCAGTGGAATCTACTGCAGGCTTAGAGTTCACATTACTAGGATTTGTTATCCCTGTCAATAGTTTATCAAGTTTAGTTTTTGTAAGAGAAGAGTTCATGGGAGTAGCTGGAGAACTAATACTGGGTTTGTTTTGATAAGTATTTCTGTGAACATTGTAATTTACTCGACTATGATAACTATGGACTTGGGCTTTAAGCTGTGCCCTTGTTAACAATTCATCTTCATCAGCGAGCTAAGAAGCTCATAAACATCTGTTGTGCTTCTCTGTTCTGCCATAAAAATAGATAGTTTGTCTGGGAGACATGATAAAACTTCTTCTGTTATAAGAAGGTTTTTAACAGTTGTAAACTCTGTAATAGCAAGTGACTTAAGCCATCTCTCAACATAATGAGTTTTCATCCTGGTGACATCAGCAATTGTATGTTCATGTGCCCTCTTTAAATTTCTGAACTTCTGTCGATGTGCCTCAGGGTTTAACTGATATGCAACATTACTGTCTGCCCATTATTATCTCATTACTCTCTAGGGGTTTAATCTATTCTCTTTAAAAAAAATTCTAGTGTTTTAACTACCACGCTTGTTAATGATACGGGTCTATAATTTACTGGTTGTTCTCGACTACCATTTTTATAAATGGGTACTATGTTTGCCTATTTGCAGATATCTGTTAAGACTCCTGTGCACAAAACTGTCTGGAATATTAATTGGAGTGGAATGCTTAGCTCAGTTGCACATTCTCGCAGCACCCAAGGTGAAACTCCGTCAGGTCCAACTGCTTTATTTCTTCTTAGCCCCTTGAGAAATTTTTCCACTTCGTCTTGAGATACCTCTTTGTATTCTATGGCATATTCAGGAAGTGGTATTTGGTCCAGCTCTCTGAAATCCTCATTTTTCATGAACACACTTTGGAACTGTTTATTTAGTGTTTCACACATTTCTTTTTCATTCTCAGAAGTCCTGTTTCCCGTTCTCAATCTCTGGATTTTATCCTTTATATGCAGCTTGCTTTTAATAAATTTATAGAAAAGGTCTGGATCTGTTTTACATTTGTCCACTATACCTTTCTCAAAGTTCCTTTCTGCCTCTCTTCTCACAGTTTTGTAATTGTTTCTTGCTTGCTTGTAATGCTGGTATGTTTGTGGGTTAGGCCTCTTCCTGTATTGAACCCCTTTTCTTGTCTTTTTCTCTCTGGTCCTCTCACAATTTCTGTTGAACCAATCCTGTCTTCTGGTCCTGCATCTCTGTTTTGGTATATATGTTTGTGTGTCTTCATCGTATATTTCACAAAATTTGGCATACATCTCATTTACGTCTTTGCCTTGCAATAAGTCTGTCCAATTAATCTCGTTAAAGAATTTTCTAAGTTCCCCCATAGTGTCCTCTCTTGAAACGAGTTTATAAACTTTGATAAACTATTATTATATCTTTATTAATATAAAGAATATAATTATATTCTTGTATATTGACTGCATATTGTGGTGACTGTATATTGTGGTGACTGTATACTGTGGTGACTGTATATTGTGGTGACTGCATATTGTGGTGACTGAATATTGTGGTGACTGTATATTGTGGTGACTGTATACTGTGGTGACTGTATATTGTGGTGACTGCATATTGTGGTGACTGAATATTGTGGTGACTGAATATTGTGGTGACTGTATATTGTGGTGACTGTATATTGTGGGGACTTTATACTATGGTGACTGTATATTGTAGTGACTGTATATTGTGGTGACTGTATACTGTGGTGACTGTATATTGTGGTGACTGCATATTGTGGTGACTGAATATTGTGGTGACTGTATATTGTGGTGACTGTATACTGTGGTGACTGTATACTGTGGTGACTGAATATTGTGGTGACTGCATATTGTGGTGACTGAATATTGTGGTGACTGAATATTGTGGTGACTGTATATTGTGGGGACTTTATACTATGGTGACTGTATATTGTAGTGACTGTATATTGTGGTGACTGTATACTGTGGTGACTGTATACTGTGGTGACTGTATACTGTGGTGACTGTATATTGTGGTGACTGTATACTGTGGTGACTGTATATTGTGGTGACTGTATATTGTGGTGACTGTATACTGTGGTGACTGTATATTGTGGTGACTGTATATTGTGGTGACTGTATATTGTGGTGACTGTATATTGTGGTGACTGTATATTGTGGTGACTGTATATTGTGGTGACTGCATATTGTGGTGACTGTATACTGTGGTGACTGAATATTGTGGTGACTGTATATTGTGGTGACTGTATATTGTGGTAACTGAATATTGTGGTGACTGTATACTGTGGTGACTGTATATTGTGGTGACTGAATATTGTGGTGACTGAATATTGTGGTGACTGTATACTGTGGTGACTGAATATTGTGGTGACTGTATACTGTGGTGACTGAATATTGTGGTGACTGTATATTGTGGTGACTGTATATTGTGGTGACTGTATATTGTGGTGACTGTATATTGTGGTGACTGTATATTGTGGTGACTGTATATTGTGGTGACTGAATATTGTGGTGACTGTATACTGTGGTGACTGAATATTGTGGTGACTGTATACTGTGGTGACTGAATATTGTGGTGACTGTATACTGTGGTGACTGAATATTGTGGTGACTGTATATTGTGGTGACTGTATATTGTGGTGACTGTATATTGTGGTGACTGTATATTGTGGTGACTGAATATTGTGGTGACTGAATATTGTGGTGACTGAATATTGTGGTGACTGTATATTGTGGTGACTGTATATTGTGGTGACTGTATATTGTGGTGACTGAATATTGTGGTGACTGAATATTGTGGTGACTGTATACTGTGGTGACTGAATATTGTGGTGACTGAATATTGTGGTGACTGAATATTGTGGTGACTGTATACTGTGGTGACTGTATACTGTGGTGACTGAATACTGTGGTGACTGAATATTGTGGTGACTGAATATTGTGGTGACTGAATATTGTGGTGACTGTATATTGTGGTGACTGAATATTGTGGTGACTGTATACTGTGGTGACTGTATACTGTGGTGACTGTATACTGTAGTGACTGTATACTGTGGTGACTGAATACTGTGGTGACTGTATACTGTGGTGACTGAATATTGTGGTGACTGAATATTGTGGTGACTGTATACTGTGGTGACTGTATACTGTGGTGACTGAATACTGTGGTGACTGAATATTGTGGTGACTGAATATTGTGGTGACTGAATATTGTGGTGACTGTATACTGTGGTGACTGTATATTGTGGTGACTGTATATTGTGGTGACTGTATACTGTGGTGACTGAATATTGTGGTGACTGAATATTGTGGTGACTGAATATTGTGGTGACTGAATATTGTGGTGACTGTATACTGTGGTGACTGTATATTGTGGTGACTGTATATTGTGGTGACTGTATACTGTGGTGACTGTATACTGTGGTGACTGTATATTGTGGTGACTGTATATTGTGGTGACTGTATACTGTGGTGACTGAATATTGTGGTGACTGTATACTGTGGTGACTGTATACTGTGGTGACTGTATACTGTGGTGACTGTATACTGTGGTGACTGTATACTGTGGTGACTGTATACTGTGGTGACTGAATATTGTGGTGACTGTATACTGTGGTGACTGTATACTGTGGTGACTGTATACTGTGGTGACTGTATACTGTGGTGACTGTATACTGTGGTGACTGTATACTGTGGTGACTGTATACTGTGGTGACTGTATACTGTGGTGACTGTATACTGTGGTGACTGTATACTGTGGTGACTGTATACTGTGGTGACTGTATACTGTGGTGACTGTATACTGTGGTGACTGACCGTGTTCTCACCACAGCCCGGCAGGAGAGGTGACGGGGCCGCTGGTGTATGGGCACTACGGGCGGCGGGAGGACCTGGCCACTCTCCAGTCTCTCAAGATCAGTGTCAAGGGCGCCGTCGTCCTCCTGAGGGACGGCAAGATCCACAACGGCGCCAAGGTACGTGTGGTCCCTGAGCTCCTGTACCTGTAGTTGGTCCCTTGAGCCCCTGTACCTGTAGTCGGTCCCCTTGAGCCCCTGTACCTATGGTCCTGTGAGCCCCTGTACTTGTAGTTGATCCCCTTGAGCCCCTGTACCTATGGTCCTGTAAGCCCTGTACTTGTAGTTGGTCCCCTTGAGCCCCTGTACCTGTGGTCCCCTGAGCCCCTGTACTTGTAGCTGATCCCTTGAGCCCCTGTACCTGTAGCTGATCCCTTGAGCCCCTGTACCTGTAGTTGGTCACTGTTAGCCTGGTGGGAAGTCACTGTTAGCCTGGTGGGAGGTCGCTGTTAGCCTGGTGGGAGGTCACTGTTAGCCTGGTGGGAGGTCACTGTTAGCCAGGTGGGTGGTCACTGTTAGCCAGGTGGGAGGTCACTGTTAGCCTGGTGGGAGGTCGCTGTTAGCCTGGTGGGAGGTCACTGTTAGCCAGGTGGGTGGTCACTGTTAGCCAGGTGGGAGGTCACTGTTAGCCTGGTGGGAGGTCACTGTTAGCCAGGTGGGAGGTCACTGTTAGCCTGGTGGGAGGTCACTGTTAGCCTGGTGGGAGGTCACTGTTAGCCTGGTGGGAGGTCACTGTTAGCCTGGTGGGAGGTCACTGTTAGCCAGGTGGGAGGTCACTGTTAGCCAGGTGGGAGGTCACTGTTAGCCAGGTGGGAGGTCACTGTTAGCCTGGTGGGAGGTCACTGTTAGCCAGGTGGGAGGTCACTGTTAGCCTGGTGGGAGGTCACTGTTAGCCTGCTGGGAGGTCGCTGTTAGCCTGCTGGGAGGTCGCTGTTAGCCTGGTGGGAGGTCACTGTTAGCCTGGTGGGAGGTCACTGTTAGCCAGGTGGGAGGTCACTGTTAGCCAGGTGGGAGGTCACTGTTAGCTAGGCGGGAGGTCTCTGTCCGCTCATGGTACCCACTCATGGTACCCGCTCATGGTACCCGCTCATGTACCCACTCATGGTACCCGCTCATGGTACCCGCTCATGTACCCACTCATGGTACCCGCTCATGGTACCCGCTCATGTACCCACTCATGGTACCCGCTCATGTACCCACTCATGGTACCCACTCATGGTATCAGCTCATGGTTCCCGCTCATGGTACCCGCTCATGGTACCCACTCATGGTACTCACTCATGGTACCCGCTCATGGTACCCGCTCATGGTACCCGCTCATGGTACCCGCTCATGGTACCCGCTCATGGTACCCGCAGAAGCTGATGGGGTAATATTGACAAGACTTGCACAGCCATAACGTAATGCAAAATAAAGTGGCCACTATTTGGGGGTTATGGTGGGGAGGATACGGGGGGGTGTTGTGTGGGTTACAGTTAACAGTTAACACAGTGATTGGACAAACAAAAATAAACACACAAATTGGAGCCTATTCTGAGGAATCATCTTACATTAAGGACACCGCAAGAAACATTTTACATCAAAGACACCTCAGGGAGTAAGCTTTACGTCGAAGACACCTCAAGGAGTAAGCTTTACATCAAAGACACCTCAAGGAGTAAGCTTTACATCAAAGACACCTCAAGGAGTAAGCTTTACATCAAAGACACCTCAAGGAGTAAGCTTTACATCAAAGACACCTCAAGGAGTAAGCTTTACATCAAAGACACCTCAAGGAGTAAGCTTTACATCAAAGACACCTCAAGGAGTAAGCTTTACATCAAAGACACCTCAAGGAGTAAGCTTTACATCAAAGACACCTCAAGGAGTAAGCTTTACATCAAAGACACCTCAGGGAGTAAGCTTTACATCAAAGACACCTCAGGGAGTAAGCTTTACATCAAAGACACCTCAAGGAGTAAGCTTTACATCAAAGACACCTCAAGGAGTAAGCTTTACATCAAAGACACCTCAAGGAGTAAGCTTTACATCAAAGACACCTCAAGGAGTAAGCTTTACATCAAAGACACCTCAAGGAGTAAGCTTTACATCAAAGACACCTCAGGGAGTAAGCTTTACATCAAAGACACCTCAAGGAGTAAGCTTTACATCAAAGACACCTCAGGGAGTAAGCTTTACATCAATAATAATAATAATAATAATAATAATAATAATAATAATAATAATAATAATAATAATAATAATAATAATAATAATAATAATAATAATAATAATTCATTTAGGCAAAGTACATACATAGCTGCAGAGTTACAGTACAAACATTCTGTTGGATTTAAAGACAGAGGTAGTACATACAATACCTAAAGCCACTAGTACGCAGAGCGTTTCGGGCGAACGATCGGTGTACTCTTCAGGGTTAACAGAGATAGGGCTTGTGCACGAAGATCGGTGCACTGTGCCCTGCAATGAGCTTTTCAAGTCAGCTGTGGGAGAATTTTGAGAGACATATTCTCACATCACATCACATCAATTTCTATTTTGCTTTCCCGAGTGCAATGCGTTCGTCGCCAATGTACATGTGGCAGATGGTTCACGAGGCTGTCGGAATCAGCAGAGAAAATACGAGAGCAACCGTACAGGGCCTGGGAGCAAGGTCGAGTTAGAGTCCTTGAGGGCCTCTTCTCAGACTAGCCTCACCTGGTCCTGCTTCACGTTGATCGTTGGCATCTCCTCAATGATTTAACACTTTAAGGGACTCCTAGGGTCCTCATCACATTTATTGTTTAGTGAATAATAGGCAACTCGGTGTTGAAGACACTTAGAGCTGAAGACTTCAGTAATGTTGGCAGTATTCAGAAGTGGTTCAACGGAAACACCGCATAAAGCTTAACAGTAGTTTATTTACTAACTTAACCACTAATACACAGGGTGCTTGATTTACTTTAGATTGGCGTCAGAAAGGCTATGGTTGTATTAGCGAGACTCTTGACGTCTGGCTAATCGACTCGGTCCACTCGTGGAGTAACACCTAATTTAACACAGTTGACAGCCAATCATTAACACGGTAACCTAACTGCCGGTATGCAAAGGGATCACAAGAGTTCCAACCGGATACTCGGTAATGATGATGTGCAATAACTCACAAATACACTGTCAATGGGACAGGCAAAAAATCAAAGACACCTCAGGGAGTAAACTTTCTCAAGACAAATGAAGAAGAAGGATATGATGATCACCGGGAAAAGATCTTCATAACAAAATCGGAGAGAAATGTAAACGACTCTCACAAGACTTACCAGCTTGCGTCAGTCAACACCGTCTGCGTCAAGACTTACCAGCTTGCGTCAGTCAACACCGTCTGCGTCAAGACTTACCAGCTTGCGTCAGTCAACACCGTCTGCGTCAAGACTTACCAGCTTGTGTCAGTCTCCTCCGTCTGCGTCAAGACTTACCAGCTTGCGTCAGTCAACACCGTCTGCGTCAAGACTTACCAGCTTGCGTCAGTCAACACCGTCTGCGTCAAGACTTACCAGCTTGTGTCAGTCTCCTCCGTCTGCGTCAAGACTTACCAGCTTGCGTCAGTCAACACCGTCTGCGTCAAGACTTACCAGCTTGCGTCAGTCAACACCGTCTGTGCCAAGACTTACCAGCTTGCGTCAGTCAACACCGTCTGCGTCAAGACTTACCAGCTTGCGTCAGTCAACACCGTCTGCGTCAAGACTTACCAGCTTGCGTCAGTCAACACCGTCTGCGTCAAGACTTACCAGCTTGCGTCAGTCAACACCGTCTGCGTCAAGACTTACCAGCTTGCGTCAGTCAACACCGTCTGCGTCAAGACTTACCAGCTTGCGTCAGTCAACACCGTCTGCGTCAAGACTTACCAGCTTGCGTCAGTCAACACCGTCTGCGTCAAGACTTACCAGCTTGCGTCAGCCAACACCGTCTGCGTCAAGACTTACCAGCTTGCGTCAGTCAACACCGTCTGCGTCAAGACTTACCAGCTTGCGTCAGTCAACACCGTCTGCGTCAAGACTTACCAGCTTGCGTCAGTCAACACCGTCTGCGTCAAGACTTACCAGCTTGCGTCAGTCAACACCGTCTGCGTCAAGACTTACCAGCTTGCGTCAGTCAACACCGTCTGCGTCAAGACTTACCAGCTTGCGTCAGTCAACACCGTCTGTGTCAAGACTTACCAGCTTGCGTCAGTCAACACCGTCTGCGTCAAGACTTACCAGCTTGCGTCAGTCAACACCGTCTGCGTCAAGACTTACCAGCTTGCGTCAGTCAACACCGTCTGCGTCAAGACTTACCAGCTTGCGTCAGTCAACACCGTCTGTGTCAAGACTTACCAGCATGCGTCAGTCAACACCGTCTGTGTCAAGACTTATCAGCTTGCGTCAGTCAACACCGTCTGTGTCAAGACTTACCAGCTTGCGTCAGTCAACACCGTCTGTGTCAAGACTTACCAGCTTGCGTCAGTCAACACCGTCTGTGTCAAGACTTACCAGCATGCGTCAGTCAACACCGTCTGTGTCAAGACTTACCAGCTTGCGTCAGTCAACACCGTGTGTCAAGCTAGTTTAGTTCATTTATTATGCACCCCATACCCATCTTGTGGGCGGTAGTGGAAAGGGTTACAGAGGCACATAATGGGCTCAGGGACTGAACCCCACAATTCATTTAGCTAAGCAAGTTACAGTCTTGATGAGCTAGTTACAAAATTCTGTATAAGTCATCACATCATAAATGGGTTCGAGATCGACCTCAAGTACAGGTTCTAAATTAAGCAACTGACATATGTGGAGAGCTAGTGTCAGAATTGATATGTTTGTCCTGCACACCGCCCCCCCATCCAGTGGGCAGCGGTGGATAGGTTACAATCACTTAGTTACTACCTACAGTTAGCAAACTGGGGATATTTGGCTAAAATTTCTGGTAGCAGATCATTTTGAATTAAATATTTACACATCACTGGAACATTTGTTATAGAATTGTCTCTAAATTCACGTATCTTTTCGCACTCCATCACATAGTGACGGAGGGTGTGCGAATAATTTTGTTGACACAGTTTACATTTGGTCAGGTCTACATCAGCAGATAATGAGAATTCCCAGAGATAC